GTCTACACACACATTGTCTCGACACGTTGTCACACTCTTATATATATACCAGGCTACCCTATCTAGTAATCTCCCGAAGGTTCGAGAGAACGAGTGGCGTGACACTAGTCACGTGACCTCGCTGACGCAACATTATTAACTAGTTATTATTTTTATTATTATTAGATTCTAATACTGTCTTCAGGAAAGTCCTGTTGAGGAGTTTAAGTGATGGGGGAGTCAATATTATTAGAAAGGCTACATACAAAAAACTCAGTTCTCATATTTTAATAACTCATTTTGTAGAAATTATACAAGTAAACACTGTAAGCCCACAAGGCATAATGACTAGCTTTAACGTGCCATTGACACGCTGCAAATGGAAAACGATAGAACTTTCAAGGAAAGCACCCAACTAACACACACACACTCACATATATATATATATAGTTAGTTGGTAACTATGATATAATAAACACTGAGAACCATTTGTAAAACCTCACTACGATAACTATCTCCAACATTCGACTACAGCTGATGCTTATTTTTGAAGACCTTCTATTGCTTGTCTTTTCTTTAGCAGTAAATTAAAATAGAAGCTAGCTGGAATATTCAAGGCTTGAATTTTTAAAGTTTTTATGAAAAGAGATCCATTTTAGGAATAACACACGTATTCCTGAAAAATAATTTTCAACCATCTGAAAGCATTCCATTTTTTGGATGTTTTGGAATCTACTTGACTTTTTATCCTTTGTGCTAACTCTTGAATCATGGTAAATAATATAAGACATAATCAAAGCAAAACTCACCAAAATAAACCAATTTTCACATTTTAACTGAAAAACCCAAGATTATCCACTGGGCCTCAATAACACCAATACAAATCCACCTTCTTACTGGAATCTGAAATGGCGTTCCTGCTCACAACTTTCGGTATCAACTTAACTGACTTCTAACATGGAGCATAGCTACGGGCTCATCCCCTATTACCACTAATCAGTAAACTCTACATGGCACATTTTGAAGATAACATCAACAAAACAGCCATTCTAACACCAAGGATTTGATTCAGATATACACAAATTCGTAATAATGCCACACACCTCAAACAAGATTTCAAAATTCAGAATTACCTGAATATAAAATATCCAACGATATACTTCAGAATGGAAATAGAAGATAAACTCCTATTCCTAAACGTAATAGTTACCAGGACACGTAACTCATGTATCACAGGCGTTTACAGGAAACCCAAAGATATCTGTAATACAGCGAATATAGATCGAACCACCCAACCAATGTAAATACGGACGATATAGATTGCCTATTTCCACAATGAACAAGATTTGTAACACAGCAGTTACTAAGAATAAGAAAAAACTAAAAGAAACCTCTTTGACAATTAATAAAGAAGACAAAAACACCAAAAATAAGTAGGAAAAAATTACAGACAAAGAAATATAATCATATATCAAATACATCTCTGAAGATATATATCATGTATGCAAATAGCATAACATCAGAACATTATTCAAAAGCTACAAGCAATTAATACATAACAAATTACCTAA